TAAAATATGTAGGTCAAAAACTTCTTATGAAGTTTTAAAATTTGAATTTTCCAGCCCATTAATTCAGTGGAATGTTTCAGCCCATTAAGTCATATGCATCGATTATTTAATTCCTGAACTGTTATTGCCTTTGTAGTCACTTTATTATTTTATGAAAATTATCCCCCTCTCTACTCACCACTTTCATCATTTCAAATTTCCAATGCGTTAGATTGATTTTTGTGATATTATTGGTGCTGTTAATTCAGATACAATAGCAGATCTACCACGAGATGCGCGTGAATTGTTTATTGTTATCAATGGATTTGAAATGAGGCGGAAAGTTTGTGGCAAATTTGATCCGGTGAAACTGCGCCAGCTTATCATGGATGGGTCAGTTTGAATTTTTTTTTTTTCGATTGTTAAACAGTTATCATTTATCCCAGTCGGATTATATCTTTGTGATGGCGTACGCATCATCACCCGCCGTAGAAATCTAAACCCAATATCGCGTAATAGCGTGATATATCAAAAACCACTAATCACTATTTGATATATTACGCTATTACGCGATGAGAAAAGTAGTTCCGGGACGAGTTCAACAAAGCCTGTGCGGTCAGGAAAAGACAACTCCGAGTTACCATTAATCACTATTTGATATATTACGCTATTACGCGATACCAAGTTGACCCTTTTAACTCATCGCACTTTTTGCATGGACTGACTTCAGGCAATGAGAGACAATGGTAACAAGCCCAGCATTAAAATTTTTTACTTAGCTGTTTTTATGCATTTGGAACTTCTGCAGCTGCTGCTGCTGCTGTTCGGTGAATTTTTTTGCTTTTGAATACAATTTCACGAATTTTTTCTTCTTGTAATCAGCTTCTGCCTTTACTTATTCTTTAAAGCTGTGAACCACACGTGCAAAAGAGATTGCTGAGTTGAGGTACACCACTTTTATGTTTTTCGGCAATTGTCCTGAGAGCCACATACCCTCTAGAAAAGAGTAGCGTTGGGGTAAAGGAGCTGCTGTGCCGTGCTTAGAATGAACCAGAAATACAGATACAAATTACAGGACAACAACGGTAAAACTGTGGAAGAAGAAACAGATGGTTGTAGTACGTACTCCAATGTGTCCAGCACTGCAGAAATATTTTCCAAGTTTGTTTTTCGTAAATTTA